CCTCCCACAGTCCTTTAGGGATGGGATTAGTGGTCTCTGGCAGTATGTGCAAATTCACTGACCCTAAAGTGGGCAGCTCAAGGCACAGACAGCACTGGGAAACAGCAAGAAAAGACATTTCTGAGACTACTTTATAAAGAGGTGGGGGCTCAGGAAAAAAAAAAAAAAACACGGCTATCATATTTTTAGAAAAACAATTTTTTTCTCCACACAGTGTGATTTCTGGTTTCTAAAAATAAGAAAGAGTAGATTTATTGGAAGGTTAAGTGCCATCAAGTTAGTTCAGATCCATTGAGTGGATTCCGACTCAGATATGACAGAGTAGCAGTCTGTGTAGCACTGTATGATAAGCATTGGACTGCTAACAACAAGGTCAGCAGTTCAAACCCACCAGCTGCTCCTTGGAAACCCCATACAGGGTCACTATAAATGGGAACCAACTCATCGGCACTCAACAACATCAACAGAACTGCACCTTAGGGTTCTCTAGGCTACTTGGAAATCCTGCACAGGGTCTCTAAGAGTTGGAACTGACTCAAAAGCACTTAACAACAACAACAATCTTTATGGGGGAGTCCTAGTGTGGAGCTGTGGGTTAATGCACTGAATTGCAAAAGGCAGGTTGAACTGCAAGGTCGGCGGTTCAAGCTCACCAGTTGCTCCTTGGGAACCCTGTACAAGGTCACTATGGATTGGAACCGACTCAATGGCACTTAACCTTTCATAAAACAGCTCAGTGATTAACCACTATAACACCAAGCTCTTTATTATCACTGCTACTATTATCTAAGAACCAGAGCTTCTGTGCTGGGGGGTTGGGGGCGAAGACATATCCCAAACAAACACCGTGGTACCAAGTCTGGTCACGTTCCCATCATCACCAAATGACATTTTTGACTGTGAACACTGAAGCACACATTTCCGGGCCATCCACAACCACTGACATCAGTCTTAATTAAAGCACAACATTAACAACCAGGACATGCTACAGGCCTCTACACGATTAGGCATAATTCAGGGGGATGATGTCATGTTTCTCTTCTGCAATCTTTGAAAAGTCTTCTTCCATGTTGGGTTGGGGGGAGGCCAGGAAGGGTTCCTAATACTGCTTTGGGCAAAAACGTTTTGAATGCTCCCCAGGGTCCCTTCTTGGTGCCAGAGAGCAAATCTCTGGGTGTTAGTAGGACTCCAGCTAAGATTCAATTTTTCATAAGTTGGGATCAAGTCAATGACAACTGGTTTGGTTGGTTCTTAATAGCATTTACATTAGTTCCATTTTCTCCTCACTTAGGGCTGTCCTAAAATGCCTGGGCCAGGAGGGTTATCAGAGAAGAAGAAATATCAGGAACATCATCATTGTGATGTTTCTAAATGCTTCTTTCTGGAGATGCTAGAAGGTCTCCCCTGGGCTCAGTCAGAAATTCCAAAGACAAGTGGGTGTCGGGGGAAGCTACAAAACTGTTTCCCTTTCTAGAATCATTTACCTTGGAAAGGGTAAAAGAACTGGACCCTGGGACACGTGTGGTGAAGGTAGGACAGCAGTAAACTGAAGGTAGGAGGGAAAAAGCCGGGTGTGTGGAAGGTACTCAGGTAACAAAGAGCTCCTCAGAAAGGGAAAGCTGGGAACCACCTTTGGGAAAACACAACAGGGGAAATGTTTTAATCATTTGTTAGCTGATGCCTCTCAGCTAGGGCTTTTCACTCAGCGCCAATCCAATTATGTTCCCAGGGCACTCAGAGGGGTTCCCACAGTGCTATTTTTAAAACTGACAAGAAGTAGGCTTGTCCCATTGACAGCGCTGCTCTGTTACAAATGCAGGGTTTGCTCAGGCTCGTCCCAACTAGCCGGCTGCAAACGCTGTGATAGCTGCTGCTTTGTTATTCCTCTCCTGGCTTCCTGGCTCATAGCAGGGCTGGGGCCCGGAAGGGAGGCGTGGGGGAAAATTGGGCCTTTAGGCTCACTTTTCTCTACAATCAAGCAGCTGAAGCCAATCCCTAGACTGCATCCCCAGTCCCCATGACCCCTCATGAGGGTCAGCCAGGGAGACTGGAAACCACCCCCAAACCACCAGAAACAAGGACCTCCGAGGCCACCAAGCTCCAAAAAGCACCAGGAAGTGCAGGAATGTGGATAAGGGGATGAAGGGGGAAGGGGGTATCATCACTGATGGTCCCCTGGGCAGGTGTTTTGGAAGCCCCAAACTTTCTTGCACAGAAATGCTCTCTTTCATGAAGACCCCAGGGTGGGTGCTGGGGATCAGTGTCTGCTCTATAGATGGGACAGTGGGACATTAGGCTGGAACCAGGACAGCAGCAGGGAGCCAGGAGATCCTAGCTCACCTTGAGGAAGACAATGGCTCACCCAGCACCTGTGGTGGGCCCCTCCATTACAAGTGGAAGAGTCCTAATGACTTTGGATTTCTTCTGATCTCTTGGAGGACAGAGCCTCAACAGAAGTGAGAGATGAAGTCACCCCATCAATGGAGACAAGACTCAGCTTGGCAGGGGTGAAGGACTGAGAGCACACAGGAACACCAAGAACACTTTTTTTCCCACTCCCAAGAAACAACCTGCAAATAGCGGGATGGGGTGGGGAGGCAGCTTATCAAAGTAGTACAGGTGCCCACCTGTCACAAAGTGAGCAGGACATGTGACTATATCAAAGTCTATATGCAACTGTGCAAGATTGAGTTGGACCAGCTCCTCAGGCACCATAGCAGCTGCTGGAGTCAGTTCCGACCCAATGCGACCCTGTATAAGGTTTCCGAGGAGCAGCGGTGAGCTTGAATCACCGACCCTGCAGTTCAAAAGGCTTTGCAGTCTGGTGCATTAACCCACAGCGCCACACCAGGACTCCTACTGTTGTTAGTTGCTGTCAAGTTATGATTCACCCTGGCCCCGTGTATGCAAAGTAGAACAGTTCCACAGGGATTTTCAGTCAGTGACCTTTGGAAGATACCAGGCCTGTCTTTCAAGGCATCTATGGGTGGGTTTGAACTGCCAAATTTACGGCTAGTAGTCAAGAGCTTAACCATGTCTGCTACCCAGGGACTCCCCACCATAGCAGAACCAACAAAATCCCTAACCAGAATTTCGAGTCCAACATAGTCAATAATGAACTTTAAAGGAGTCACCTTCCTTAAAAGAACAAGCGTGAGACCATCTTCTCAAAGAAACCAACCATTGCAAGCCCCCACCCCCGTCCCGCCCCAATCCATTCTGCCTTGCTCAGCAACCTGCAGGAGGTGAAAGGCTTCCTGTTGGACGACGCTGACCTCGCTATCACCACCCAGTGCAAGTCACCACCTGCCTGGTCGGGGCAGGGCAGGAAAAGCTTCCAGGTAAAGGACAAAACACTGTTCCAACCAGGCGATGCAATAGGCTATGTGTCCCGCCTCAGGTACAGCCAAGTAGGCCACCCAAGAACCAAGAGCCTGGTCACTGAAAATAACACAAGATTCTAAGGATAAGACTGGTAAGTCATCCGGGAGGAAGCGCTGTTTACCCTGCTCTTTCAATACAATAAGAAATTGCGTTAAAGCTTTCACTGATCAACAAAACTCAATCCGATTTTAAGATTCCATCAAACAATTATCCCCAAGATCACACACACAAAAAAAATGCCCCCATGTAGTATATACAGAGCCTTCCAGAATCTAAATACTTGCTGTTATTCAAAGTAGGTTTGGTTTCAGCAAAATAACTACAGCGCCCCCTCTGGCCTGAGTCGTTCCCAGAACCAGCGGCAAAGTTTGGAGGAAGTTAAATAAAGAGTTTTTTTGCACAGCCTCAGCAAGCATCGCATCCGAGCTAGTGGTATTTCTAGGATACTTGTCACCACTGCACTGAAGTTCCCAAAAAACAATGAGTTTCAGGCCGGAAGCAAAAAGCCACCAGTTGAATATAAATACGAAACAACTCCCACGTAGGATACAAAGTTCATTAAAAGAAAAACAATACTAGTCTGCTAATTTAAAGCTTACCAGGGGACTTCAAAATGTTCGTGGGAAAATTCCACTATCTTTCCATTCCATTTTCACAAACTTTTTAAACCCCCCTCGTACATATAAGTTATTAGAACTCAAAAATAAATGGTGAAGTTCAAGGTAAAAAAAAAAAAAGAGGGGAGGTGATTTCTGCGTTCTTTGAGATAGCCTTCATTAACTTCATCACTTTGGGATCAAAGTGATTGAAAAAGTTCCGTCCCGGTTTGGGGACCGAAAAATTGGTGCTGATCCGGAGGCCCGACGGCACCGCCAAAAAGTAGGTTAGTGTCAAGCCACAGCCGGTCCATTCCCTAGGCGCTGGGTGTGAAACGTAATTCGGTAGAAAGCAAGAGTGTGCGGAGGGAAGGCACCCAGCTTGCTCCCCGCAGGTCGGAACCCCGCAGCATCAAAGGGCGCACCCGGGAGCCGAGGGAGCCGCGCCCGCGCCAAGCCAGAGTTTCCGACCGAAATAATTACGGTCTTAACAGCAATTTGTGCTTCAGCGTAAATTACTACGTGAACGTACGGAGCTAAGTACACACACAAAGCCCAAAGCCCACAGGACAATTGTTCCAAGGCCGGCGCAGACCGCGGCGCGCAGGCCGGTTCGGGGCTAAGGGGCGCGGCAGGGACGCGAGTCCCAGGAGCACTGAGAGCACCGATTTTCCAGGGCCATACATTGGGAACAGGGACTAGAAAGTCGCACAAAATATCACCAGTACTTGGTAAGATCTCCAACCAACGCGCATCCCTCCCGCAAAGAAAAGCCCCAGCGTCCCCGGAGACGCTAACCGCCCGCAGCCCCGCGGTGCGCAATCCCACTCGATGCTCGCTGAGCCCCTCCCGCCTAGGGGCCGGGGTCGGTGGAACTGACTTGGTTGCTTTGTTTTTTACTCCGTGGAAGTGACTCCGCAGGTAAGTGTCAAGGGAATGTCATAGGACAATGGAATCCGGCCCCGCGCCCTTGCCCGGCCGCCAGCCCCTACGTCGCAACGCCCTGCCCGGGCCGCTGACCTGTCGTCGACATGCAGGCTCGGCGAACACTTGATGGCCAGCCACGTTTTCCAGTGGACGTGGCGCACCTTGTACACCTGACCGAAGCCGCCCGAGCCAACCTTCTCCCAGCCTGCAAACTCGCCAGCTTCGAAGGTACGCAGCAGCCCCAGGGCCCACGGGCTCTCGCACTTAGCCTCCATCGCGCGCCTCTAGCAGCCGCCCGGCGCCGCCGCGGCCGCCCAGGTACCCAGGTGCCCAGGTGCGCGCCCCGCCCCCACCAGAGACGTCACTTCCGTCAAGCGGCACGCCCCCGCCGGCCCCGCCCTTGCCCTTCCTTTCTAGTCCATTGTATACTGACCCTTGGTGCCAGATGAGTGCTCCCCTGGAGGTCGGTGAACTTAAGAAGGCCCAGGCGCCCTTGTGACAGCTCAGTTGCCTTTTTTTCTTTTTCTTTTAAGGTAACTGTAGATTCGCTTGCAGTTGTAAGAAATAATACATTTTATCCAGTTTTACCCAATGATAACATTTTGCAAAACTAAAGTATAACATCACAACCAGGATATTGACAGGATATGACACAATCATTCAGTTTTACTCATATGTTCCCAGTTTTCTTTTTACTCATTTGAGTGTGGTGGTGGTGGTTATGTGCCGTGTAGGTGATTCTGACTCAGTGACCCTGTATGAGGTTTCCGAGGTTGTAAATCTTTACAGGAGCAAAAGCCTCATCTTTCTCCCAAGAGCAGTTGGTAGATTGGCAGCCCAACTTAAGTAACTCCCTAACAGAGCTCCTTCATTTGCGTGTGGGTATATTGTTCCGTGCCCCCAGTTAGTTCCGACCCATAGCGACCTTGTATAGAGTTTCTTAGGAGCAGCTGATGAGCTTGAACCTCCAACCTTGCTGTTCAAACCACCCTTGCAGTCCAGCACAGAAGTCCACAGCACCACACCAGGACTCCATGTGTAGGTATAACTTTGTTGTTGTCTAGTCGGTTCCGACTCATGGCGACCCTATATAGGATTTCCAAGGAGCGGTTGGTATAATCTGTTAAGTGCCGTCGAGTCGGTTCCGACCCACAGCGACCCTGTATAGGGTTTCCGAGGAACAGCTGGTGAGCTTGAACCGCCGACCTTGCAGTTCAAACGGCTTTGCAGTCTGGCTCATTAACCCACAGCGCCTACATATCAAATTATGTCTAGATCAAAGTTGGCAGTTCAAACCCACCAGCAGCTCAGCTGGAGAAAGATGAAGCTTTCTGCTCCTTTAAAAATGTACAGCGTTGGATCCTATGTTGTAAAGTACCCTCGAGTCAGTTCCAACTCATGTTGTTGGTGGTATTATTACGTGCCATGGAGTAGGTTCTGACCCTGTATCGAACTCTTAGGGTTTCTGAAGAGCAGTTGGTGAGTTTGAACCGCCGACCTTTTGTAGTCCAGTGCATTAACCCGCAGTCACACGAGGATTTCGCTGAGTCATCGGTATCCTGTATAGGGTTTTCAAGGAGTATATGGTATGTTTAAGGAGCTCTGGTAGTGTAGTGGTTACGAATCGGACTGCTAACCTCAGGGTCAGCAGTTCGAAATTACCAGCTGTTCGGTGGGAAAAGATGAGGCTTTCAGCTCCTGAAAAGATTTACAGCCTTGGAAACCCTGTACAGGGTCACTATGAGTCGGAACATAACAACAACAATGGTGTGTTTGAACCATTGACCTTGTGGTTAACAGTTCAGTGCTTATCCTACAGCAACACACCATCGCTACAATTTGGAATCCACTCAATGTCAGTTTTTGAAACTCCGGTACCCAACACCATGGTGAATGTAACGAACTTTTCCATCACCTCAAGGATTCATCCTGTTGACCCAGTCTCACACACAATCCACAAATCTTCTGTTTATAAAATTTTGTCATTTCAAAAACTGCAATCCTTTTAGGATTGGATTTCTGTCCATCTGCTGTATATTCATGGTTTGTTTTTTGTTTTGTTGTTTTTGCCAAAATTTGTTCTTTGGAACTAACTTTAAGATAATAATTATAAGGAAAAGAAAGAAAAAGATGAAGGAGAGAGTCTTGGCTTCAATAGCAGGCAGGTTTATTGAGAGTAAACCTGGGAGGGGGTACTCTTATGACACCAAAGGAGACCAAGAGCCCGTCTTCTCTTACAGACTGGGGTATTTAAGGCGGTGTGGTCTGGGTACAGTTCTGGTGAGTTTACAATGGGCGGGAGTATGGAGATTTGGGCAGGGGTATGGAGATTTTCCTGAAACCTGGAATTTCCGGGGGGGAGGGTCTCCAGGTGTAACAAAGACCCAAGCTTCCCAGGAGATCGGAAGCTCAAGCAGGACCCCATTCAGTGCCAATTGGAAGTAGTTGTGATGCCATTCTGTTGATCAGGCGGCAAGGTCCTTCAATAATAATAATAATAAATAATAATGCAGGGTTTACTCCCTCCTTTCCTAGGAGGAAAAAAAGTGGTAGCATGGTGGATTAGGAGCTGGACCAAAAGGTCAGCAGTTGAACTCTGCTAGTTGCTGGGAGAAAGGTGAGCCTTTCTGTACCCTCTCAGAAACCCTATACAGGGTCGCAGACTACCTCCTCCTTCTTCTTCCTAGAAAACAGCATCTTTTTAGATGTAGAAGAGATTGCTTGAAAAGGAAAGATGTTTTTCCACATTTGGAGGGAGTTCCTAGCTTGAACACATTGTGCTGGTTGTGTGCCGTGGAGTCAGTTCTGATTCACAGTGACCCTGCATAGTGTTTCCGGTCTGTAAATCTTTACGGGAGCAGAAAGCATCATCTTTCTCCTGTGGAACTGCTGGTAGTTTCGAACTGCTGACCATGAGGTTAGCAGCCCAACTTGTAAACACTACGCTACACATTTAGATATTAGAAAAAGCAAACCAAACCAAACTTACTGACATCTAGTCGATTCTGACTCTTAGCCATCTATCTTTTATGGGGTGTCCCGAGACACAGGAGCAGAAAGCAGCATCTTTCTCCCTTAGAGGACTCAGCAAACCAGTGCTTATCCTACAACACCACCAATGTGCCTTTTGTTATTGACAGAAAGCATAATCACATACTTTCATACTTACAAAAACCTTCATTACTCTACCGACTCCACGGCACTAAACAACAACAACAACTCTACACCCTTATGGGAAGGTTTTATTCTTGGCCAAACTGAATGAATAATGGGGTGGGGAGATAAACAATGGAAGATTTCAACAGTATTAACTGTGTTTTGTGTGTTAATCATCCAGAAAGAAGGAGAAGGTGTTTTTAATGGAAAACCTCAAGCTTAGCTTCTACAGGCTTTTTTCTCCTCAGGCATACCGTAATCTTAGTTTACAGCCAAGAATTGAGCCACTCCTCTGAATGTGTGAGCTCTTGGCTCAATAAACAGCCCTCTGCCCTCCAGGCTGTTAACACCTCTGAACACCACAGTGCCACCTTGGGGGCCTCCTAAGCAGGTCAGGTAGGCAAATCCTTGAACACAAAATCTTGAAATCAAATTCAATCTGCTTGAGCACTAGTGGCACAGCAAGTTACGCACTGAACTGCTAACAGATATGTCAGAAGTTCGAACCCATCAGCTGCTCAACTGGAGAAAGATGAGGCTGATCTCCTATAAAGATTTATAGTCTTGGAAACCCAAAGCGGCAGTTCCTCCCTGCCCTATAGGATAGCTATGACATGAAATCAACTCTATCCATGCCAGTAGGTAGGTAGTGAGTGAATCTGGGGAGGCAAAATTATTCTAAGCTTGTTTGTAGCAAATGTAAGTAACATATAAGCTAAAAAAGAAAACCATTTGCTGTTGAGTAGATTCCAATTTAGGACAATCCCATGTGTTACAGGTTAGAACCAAGCTCCGTAGAGTTTTCTTGGCTGTAAAGTTTATGGACACAGACCACCAAGACTTTCTTCTGAGGTGTCTTTTGGTAGATTTGAATAGCCAACTTTTCAGTTAGCAGCTAAATGCAGAAATTAACACGTAAACTAACATTAATTGGGATGTTGAATATAAAGATAACTGGAAGTAAACACAGTTGCTGTTTGGGGTGGGGAACAAGGGGCAGTAGGGGAGAATGAATTAGCTGGAAAATTCATCATCTGCCTTGGCACTGGGGTTCATCTATGGTATCCATAAAGCCCTCTAGATCGTCAACTTTCACATGCACACAGCTCTTCAACTGTGGATGACTAACAGTCCACATCAGTCAAGTAATAAAACACTCTAATTTCATTTATTTAATCATCTGTCTGCTTCACTGGACAAATATTTATGGCGTGTCTGCTGTAAGCTCCAGGCTTGGATACCAGGCTCTGGGCCCAGGAACCGGAGTCCAAGGAGACCACAGCAGTTGGCACACAGCTTTGGTGGGGGTCAGAACAAAGGTCACAGCAAGGACTGGGAACTCCAACTCCTCCGCAAATCAGCTGTGTTCCCTAGGCAGGTCCCTGAAGTCTAAGCCTCAGATTCCCAATTTGTAAAAGAGAAATCAATTCCCTGGCAGGGATTTTGAAGGCAGGCTTCTGAACCCTCAGGGATTACAGGTGTAGTCCTATTGTAACACTGTAGGATAAGCACTGGACTGCTAACCTCAAGGGTGGTCATTCAAACTCACCAGCCACTCTTAAGAAACCCTATACAGAGTCTCTATGAGTCGGAAAGCAAGATAACCACTTCGATGTATAAACTAAATGAAATTTAAAGTTTCATTTTAAATAAAAATGTTTAAGTGGATTGGTTTAAGGAAATTATTACATGAACAGTACCAAAACCCAATCCCATTTGTGTCACAATCAAACGGTGCTCCATAGGGTTTTCAATAGTTGTTTTTTCAGAAGTAGATCTCCAGGACTTTCTTCAGAGGCATTTCTGGGTAGACTTGAACCTCCTCCGTGTTCAAGCATAGAAAGATTGGGAGCAGTGTGGGGGGAAGGTGGGAGACACCTAATGATGCTGCCCTTCTGTGAGATTTTAAATGCCTGTTCATCTTTACTATTCAAGGTCACTAGAATAAAGTTTGCTTTGTACATAAGTAACTCCCTTAGAGCTTGGTTCTACCTCGTGCTGGCCTCAAGAGGGAAGCCAGAGTTCCCCAGCCCGATTCAGTTCACCCCACCTTAAACGTCTTCAGGAAGAACATGGAGCCGCAAGTTGAGCTCTGGCCGCATGGTGGCGCCTTCCTGCT